GCTCATCTGGGAAAGGTGCCTGCTGTGCGAGCCTGGCATCCACATTAAGGTGGACAGAGAGTGGGCCCCACAAAGTTGTCTTTTTACCTCTACATGTTGTAGCACACATGCCCCCTCCAATAAGAATTCTGTCATTTTTAAAAAGCCAATGAAACCCTTTCACCTTCTAAGGTCCCTCAGTAGAGAACAGAAGGGAGTCTCCAGAAGGTGTCTTTTTTTTTTTTTTTTCCTCAGTCTGGTACTGGGAGTCCAACCCAGAGCCAGGCTTGGTAGATGGGTCACCACTAAGCTGCACCCCTGCCCTTCCAAGCTTAGTTGCTGTGTTTTTAAGATGGATTCCAAGTTGCTCAGGGTGACCTTAACCTGTCATTCTGCCTCAGCCTTTTCAGTGCTGCTTCAGTCACCATGCCTGCTCCCTCCCCCCCTCCCCCCAACCAGGCCCCCAGGACAGGGTTTTTCTTTTTGATGAAAGCTCTCATCTTTGTTTTGTTTTTTGTTGTTTTGTTTTTCGAGACAGGGTTTCTCTATTGCTTTGGAGACTATCCTGGCACTCGCTCTGTAGACCAGGCTGGCCTTGAACTCACAGGGATCCGCCTGACTCTGCCTCCCAAGTGCTGGGATTAAAGGCGTGCGCCATCAATGCCCGGCCTCTCATCTTTTTTTTTTTTTTAAGGATTTATTTTTATTATGTATACAGTGTTCTGCCTGCATATATGTCTGCAGGCCAGAAGAGCACACCAGATCTCATTACAGGTGGTTGTGAGCCACCATGTGGTTGCTGGGAATTGAACTCTGGAGCAGCCAGTGCTCTTAACCACTGAACCATCTCTCCAACCCAGGATGGGGTTTTATCTATGTAGTCCTGGCTGTCCTGGAATTCACTCCGTAGATCAGGCTGGCTTCAAACTCTGCCTCCACTGCCTGGTCCTCCTGACTTTTTAAAGATAGGGTCTCATAATGGGACTTGGAATACTTGTGCCTCCTTCCAAGCATTACAGGGATGTGCCATCACCAAGTGCTGACATTACAGGAATGTGCTGTCATACTGAGCTTGAGATATGAAATCAAAAGACCCTTGAACACTGTCACTTTGAAATGATAAGCTCATGGGAACTACGTTCTCAAGGGAGCACTGAGGGGAAAGTGGTGTATACCCAAAATTACTCTTGAAAATTCGGCCACTTGGCAGAAAGCAGCTATTAACAGTGCATATCATGTCATATGTTGGCCAGGGAAGGCTAGCTGCTGCAAATGGTGGTGAGCACTATGCAGACCCCAGAATTCAGGGAACAGCAACTGTTGTGCCTTTAAATGACCTCCTTCCTTTCTCTTCTGCACACACTGAACCACAAAATCAAAGCCCTGAGTCTTATGACCTGATAATGGTCTCCATTTTGGAGGACAATAATGTCCAGATTCAATCAGAAAAATGGAAAGTTGTATTTAATCAAATCTGTTCCTGCTACATTGTGGCATCACGTGATCCGTCTGCATAGCTGTGTCTACAGTTTGGTAGGAATGTAGCCAAGCTTGGCTCACCCACCCTTCCTTATTCTGGGACCAAACTACTGACCTTCACACTATCCTTCCTCTCTCCAGTCCTCTGAGTGGCTGCAGGGAGTGTAATCATTGGCTCTACTTTGGCCTTATTTTCCCTCCCAAGCTATCCTGGGGTTCAAACTGGCACCTGTGGCATGACCTTTTCCATGGCCAGCAGTCTTGGCCCCATCCTTCTTAAACCTGCTAAGTAGATTCTGAAGAACAAATCACCACACTGTGAAAATGAACAAGTTCATGTGTTTATTTAAAGGGTGCGGATACAGGACTATACCCTTCCCCAGTATTTGCCAAAGCCAGGGCAAAGACCAAAACCCCATCTTCAACCTATCCTCCTCCACCTCTGCCCATTTTTTCCTCTACACAAAGACACCACACACTTCAGGGTTTGTTTTGTTGAGACTCACTAGTAGCCCTGGCTGTCCTGGAAATCACTATGTAGACCAGGTGTCTTAGAGGGGGTTGCTATTATGAAGAGACACCATGACCACAGGAACTCCTTTTCCTTAATTAGGGTGGCTAACATTTTCAGAGGTTCAGTCCATTATCATGGTGTGACATGGTGACATGCAGGCAGACACGGTGCTGGAGAAGTAGCCGAGTATCCTACGTCTTGGCATGCAGGTATGCCTCTGGGAGTAGCTTGAGCATGAGATCTCAAAGTCTACCTCCACAGGACCACACTTTCTTATAGTGCCAATCCCTTTTAGGGGCTATTTCCTTTTGAACCATCTCATCAGACTAACCTCCAACTCAGATATACCTGCCTCTGCCTCCCAGTGCTAGGAATACAGGCATAGGCCACTATACCTAGCCAAACACTTAAGGGCTCTTTTCTGTGGAGGACAAAGCCCAAGGCTCATCCTGCAACTACAGAATCAGCTTTGGGAGTCCCCAGGTAAGTCCAAGGTGGCAGCTTTGCTTCACAAGGTATGTGTGAAAGAACCAAGGGTTGTGAATAGTGATGGGTCTGAGGGTTCATAGGCCTGGGAAGGAATAAGAAGTAGATGGGATGGAGCAAGAAGGCATCAAAAATTGATGCCCTGGCTACTGAGCAAGGAGCAGTGAGACTGGAGGGGCAAATGGGAGATAACCCAAGAGAGCCCTGTGTAGGATATATGAAACAGGGATGCAGTCACTGTGTCAGACCTTCCCAACATAAAGCCCCCTAAGGCTACTTCATTAGTATCCTCCTCTGTGTCTGGGAAGAAGGAACTTACGGTCTAAATCTTAAGGCTCTTCCAGAGGCCCTCAGTACTTAGATATTCCAATTTCAGAATAGACCATCACTTTAATGAGACCATGTGCAAATCATTGCAGAATCCCCTTGACCGTGCAGCTCTGCTTCACTGATCTTAAACAGTACACAGAGGTGTAGAAGGGAAGGTTGTGATTTAGTGGGTCTGAGGGAGTGCCCCAGATACAGAATTTCTGGCACGTTCCCAGGTGATGCTGATATTGCAGTTACAGGCTCATACCAGTAGAAGTGAGGAATTGTGAGAGCAACCATCTTGGGCATGCCCAGTGCAGCAGAAGCTCTTAGGGTCTTTGTCTAAGGCCATCAAAGAGACAATTCCTTGATGCCATCACCAGCCACACCCACAAGAAATCATACTTCCCTGTCAACACTTAGACCATCTCCTATTCAACTGCTGATCAGATGTCACTTGACACCTTCTGGCTACTGCTGCCAAACCAGGTAGGAATAATCCAAACCAAGAGCTATGCATATACTAGATTGGGATACCCTCAGACATGTCTTCAGAATTCTTTTAAAGTTAGGAAAATGCACCACTAAACAAGTGTAGGAAAGTTCTTTCCTTGACATCTGGGTGTCTGGAAGTCATAATTGCTAAAACACCACAAAGGTGAGGGGGTATGGAATGACGATGTGGGATCTGGGAGTATTCACTAAGGAGTGTCTTCTCAACTGGCCCCAGCCCATTCTCATCACTGGCCTTGAACCTCCTGTTTTGGCTTTTGAAAAAAGATTTCTAGCTTGGGCATGGTAGCAGATGCCTTTAATCCCAGCACTCAGGAGAAAGGGGCAGGTGGATCTCAGCCTAGTTTACATTGCAAGTTTCAGGCCAGGGCTTCATAGTAAGACTGTCTCAAAAGCAGATTTCTAAGACTTACTTGTATGTTTATGAATGCTTTGCCTGCATCTACGTATTTGCAACACATGCATCACTGATGCCCACCGAAGCCAGAAGAAAGTGCTGGACCCCCTTGATGGAGTTAGGATGGTTGTGAGCCACCATGGGGGTGTTGGGAATTGAATTAAGGTCCTCTGCAAGAGCAGCCAGTGCTCTTAACCTGTAAGCCATCTCTCCAGCCTCAATTTCTTGCATTTTAAGTATATTACAGTTTCTATGAGACCCCCCTCACATCCCAGTATCTTGTACTCTTTCCTACAAACACAATGGCAACATTTTAATGTGGCTCTTACTGAATTACCATTTTAATTTAAGAAGTTTGTCCAAGGTGGCCCAGTGGGTAAAAGCACTCACCACCAAGTCTGCTGACCTGAGTGCAGTCCCCCGGGACATAGGAGAATGAGATAGACTCACACACGTCATTTACATTCACACAAAATAATTTTTAAAATTAAGTTTGCCACCCTGGTGGTTTTTGGTGTTTACAAAATATTCATTTCATCTATTTAACCCTTGGAGAAAAACCTTTCCAGGCTATTTTCTTACCAGATGCTTGAATGGAGGTGATGACACTCAGACGTCACACCTAAGCCTAGGTTCAAACTTCCTGTCACATTTTATTGAGGCACTTCCACCAACTGGGAAGTTATCCTTTTCTTCCCATCTGCCTCACTTCCTGCACCAGACAAATGTAACGGTGGATGAGAAGTCTCCCCTTTCCTTTGTACGCTACATGGAAACTCGCTCCCTAGAAAAATGGAAAGGCAGGAATTCTGAAGCCACACTCTTTTAAGAGCCTTCCATCCCAGGTAAAGCAATGAATGGGCATGACTAACTGCAGTGTCCTTCCTGGGGGGCCCAAACTGTTCTACCGCAGTCACTTATCCCCCTCCACTTGTAGGTGCCCACCTGAGAGATTAATTACAAAAAGGCTTTCCAAAGCTAGCAGATTCCTCTTGGCTTGAGATGTCCCTCTAACATTTTCTCTCTTGTCCTGAAAGGAGTAAGAAGGTTCCATGTCAGCATCTCAGAGGCCCACTCCTTTCCCAGGTAAAGCCCCAAGGTTATAAGTAGCTATCAAAGAAAAAGATCTTTTGGAGAATGAAATATATAAATGATCAGCAACTATGTTCTGTTTGCCAAAGATGGGCCATCACTATTAAAGGCCCCATAATCAGTAATTTTAAAAACAAATTTCTAATCTTTATAATTTATGTTTAGTACTCCAGGGTTAGCTTGCACTTGTTAACTCAATGTAGCAACAGGGCAAAGGCACACATAACAAAGTACTGTTAAAGGATTTATTGCAGTAATACAATAAAAGTTTAGAAAACGTGTGTGACTTACCCTGACTTGGAAGTCTCAGAAGCAGCAGCGAGGGGACTGTGACACTGCAGCCCTTTCCCAAAGCATACCCGAATCCTCGCCCAATGCTGTCCACCACACCATGGTGACTTACTCTCCAGTAAGTTACACTCTTGGTTCTCTTCAATTACATGTGTCTTTTATGATTCTGCTTAAAGCAGCCTATGTGGTGCCTCTGAGTTTCTATTAGTATTACCTTGCTTCAATAAACCATTTTAAAATGGAAAACATGACCAACTTCTATGGCTTTTGGTTTAAAAAAATACCAGCTTCATCTTTTCATAAAGCTGTTTACATATGGTTCTGGCACCTACAACAAAGGTTTTATTGAGCAGCAAAGAGTACGGGGAAACAGTGGTTGAAATGTGTATTTAAGACTATTCACAACACGTGGATCCAGTGCAACACAATGAAACTCAAAGCATTTCTGCAGCCTAGGGCCATCATTTACTGTGACGTAAAGTGACAAAAGTGCCTCTATTTGATACTAGAAACAAAATAACCCATCAACCCTACACTTCCTGCATCTGTTCTGTTAACTGCTGTAGACACGAGTTGTGACCTCTGCACTCTTTCTGTAGCTTCAGCTCAAGCTCATGTTTTTTTCCAGCTGGTTCTGTTCATTCCACCAGACATAGCTACAAATTCTAGAACTAGAGGGCAAAATGCAAGCCCAACAGTTACGAAGCTGAGTGGAACAGATTCCAGCCAAATGAACACCTTCAAGAGGGAAGCTGTCTCCTCCCGAGGTGGAGGATATAGAGTTAGGGACCATGTGGCTCCTGCATAGGAGTGAAGTCCTTTCTGCAAGTCTACCAACAGAAGAAGCTCTATAGCACCTCAGTCTGCAAAGTACCAACTCTAACATCAGGGACCAGAAGCTAGGGCTGGGCAAACTGCTGAAGGACTTGCCCGAGGTACCATCACACCAGCCACGCTAGGAAGGTGTGGGAGGCCGCTTTTTCACAGGATTTCTGTGATCTGTTACATAAGACTTCATTTCATTCTCTTTTGAAGTTATTAAAAATAAAAAAAAACCTACTTACTAGCTTGAACATAATACAGTTGCAAGATTGTCCTTGAGCATTTCCTGGGACAGCTGCACAAGGTGCTGCCTCTGGAGCCTCGGAGACCCGAGAAACAAGCAGGAGGGGCTTCCTGCTTGTAACTACTAGTTAACACCCACCTCTAAGAAACTGGACAGCAAGAGAATGACCACTTAATCAAGTGTTCAAACTGTGCCCAGGCAGCATTTAGCTCATGTAGGGAATGACAAAGGGGAAAAGTCCCACTTTAAAATGAGTCCAGTACAGTAACTCCAATGACTTACACAAAAATGAACTTATTTCCCCTCAGAGTACAAGAAAACTGTTTAGACATCTTTATACATCGAAGCTAGGATTCCCCCCATTCATGGGTGTGGGTCTGTAGAATAAAGACCGTGGTTTCTTTGGTGTGTGGTAGAAAATCAGGAATGTGATTTATGGTGACAGCAATAAGCTTTTAACCTCCTTCCCTCCCCCATAAGACCAAAGCTGTGGCTGGCAAGTCTCTTAAAAAGATGACAAAAACAAGCTCAGCTTTTGTTTTTCATTCCTCACCACCAAGAAACACTTCCTTGTGATCTGACAAAATCTAGAACTTGTGTCGGAAAGACTCTCGCATCCCAGCAATCAGCACACTGTGGGTGTAAGGGGTAGGACCGGGGGTCCAGGAGGCCACAAGCTCAGGCTGGCAAAGATCCTGAGCATGTCAATCACCATCACAGGCTACCAACAGGCACATGTGCTGTCCTAATGCTAGGTTAGCCCCTCTGGTAACTACAGACAAAGTTATTAGAGTGCAGTGGGAAAGATTTCATGTTCTGTTGTACACTTATTAGCGGTGTCCAGTGTACGCTTTGAACCAGGAGGTCACCGAGGCTGCAGCGGAGGAGATCATCCCACCAGCACTGCTGCTGGCTATGGGTGGGGATGCCTGGGTGCTCTGGCTCTGGGAGACTTCCACTGGCTGGGATGGGATGTCACAGAATCGGGGACTCGGCAGGTTCTCCCAGTCTGTGCCCAGGTCAGTCTCCTCATCGCTCACACGCTCATCTCCACTCTCATCTGATTCTCCAGCAACTCCCGGGTCTACAAATTCCATGGACTCCTCAAGGTCTGCTCGCACTTCAAAGGGTCCTGACCTGTGTGCACACAGAGGGGCTTCGTAAGCACCATCTTCCCACCCCAAAATCATTTGAATTGGGCATTAATACATTCATTTAAGTTTTTTTTTTTCTTGAGTCCTTTGATTTTCCCTTACTGACTGAAAGACTGACCTACTCCAGATTTGATTTGCTCTCTATTAGAGATGATACAAACCTATCTACTATTTGTCTTTGTTTAAGATACAGGGCCTTTCTTACCACAGTCAGTTAGTTCCTACATAGGAATGTGTGCAGCTCCTTTCATTTACAGATTTTTGAGGTATGGCTTAGTTAAAATTTATCTCCCTACCTATAAGTTGTCTTTTCTCTTCGGTCTTTTATGTATCATTTTAAAACAGGACCTTTTATTTCTGGTACTTGTTTTTGTATACAAAATATGACAGAAAACCAACTTCTTCCTCACTTGAATTCCAACTAGCCTAACACTATTAACTATGATCATCTAATTTAGCAGCAACTGGAACAGTCCTACAGGCACACGATTGGCTTCAAGACTCCTCGGTTCTTAATGGCTAACGGCATCTTAATGGTGGAGGAGTAGTATTTGAGACAAGATCTTACTACATAGCCCCAGGCTGGCCTCAAAGTCACAGGCCTTCTACTTCAGTTTCCCAAATACTGAGATTAAACAATCATTTTATTTTTTGTTTATATTACTGGGGGGTGGGCATGCCATAGCAAGCATGTGGAAGTCATGGTACAATTTGCAGGAATCATTTCTGTCCTTCCACCATGTGGGGCAGAGAAATCTAAGTCAGGTAAAGTACCTTTACCCCTTTACCTACCTAGCTATCTCACTGCCCCACCCTCCCCCCAAAACACCTTTTTAAACATTAACTTTAGGGCGTTGGTGGTGCACGCCTTTAATCCCAGCACTCAGGAGGCAGGTGGATCTCTGTGAGTTCAAGACCAGCCTGGTTTACAAGAGCTAGTTCCAGGACAGCCTCCAAAACCACAGAGAAACCCTGTCTCGAAAACCCCAAAAGTGCACCAAATAAAACCTCACCTCTTTCTTTCCACATAAACTTAAGAGTTAAAAATACAATGAGTCAAAAATGCAAATGTTTTAAGTACTGCACATGCTAGGCTCATGCTTTACTGTAACTCAGCATACATTTGCCCCTTTTAAGAAAAGACCTTACTTACTAAGCTGCTCAAGCTGTAGTCCTCTTCCTCAGTTCCTGAGTGGCAGAATTGCAGGCATCTGCCACCTCAGCCAGCTAAAAACCTCTGATACACCACAGTAACAAACACCAACATTTAGTGTAGTTTTACTTAAACACACTCAAGAGTGCTTACAGTTTGAGCAAAATCACCTAATAAAAGCCCATTTTCCAAAGTGTAGACACACCAGCTATGCCCCCTCTCTACAAAAACACATGCACCTACTCATGAGAGCAAGGACAATGGGTCAGAGCATAGAGCAGGTACAAAGATGAGCCTTGTCTAGTTCCTGCTCTTGTGGGCTTAGCAACTGAAGTTGTCCAGAGCAGACCGTAGAGCAGGGCAGTGCAGACCATGGAGCAGGGTGGGGTTCGTTGTTACTGATTGTGGTTTGAAGCAGATGACTTTCAAGCCAGCTCACTCTATGAACTTCCACTACTTTTAACAAACAGTGACCACATTAACTTGGTAATGAAAAGAAATCCCATACGCACAGGATATGCAAGCACAAAGGAAAGCACAGAAGAGACAGCACAGCTGCCAAGGGAAAGTTAGAAAAGAAATAAGCGAGGTTTAAGAGAAGCACAAGGTGGCAGCCAGGGCATGGAGTCTGCTCTGTTACATGTCACATGCTAAATGTACGCCTGCAAAAGGAAGAAGACCACACATGTTCAACTGTTTCCTTCTGCACATTACTACTGTACATCTTTTTTCCTTGCCAGAGAATTTGGAACTTGGAGAACACTAGATACTATCTATGTCAGAGTGTGCCCTGGGTCTACTTAAAAGCAGCCACATAAAAAATAAAAATGCTTAGAGAAAAGCCATACATACAACTCACCTGCCTAGGTGCTCGGAGTGTGGGCTGACCAAGGTCATTAGGTTCCTGAGTGTATGCAGTGGTTGTAACTGATCTAAATTCACATGCTAGAAAAAGCAAAGGCTTGATTAATACTTTCAAACACACAGAAAATTAAAAATGAGTTCAAAGCACAGGGCTCGTACCTGAGAGGAACACAGGTAAAGGATGTTTGCATTCAGCCTCCTCACTGCACGAGTCAGTTTCTGTTTGCTGAGGTTTTCCCCACAGAACTCACTGTAAGACAAGGGTATGACTTCTTAGATTATTCTCCAAGGAAGGTCTATGTTAAAACACTCCTGCTGAAGGGTATATTTTAACTACAGTTCAGCACCAGCCCAGCACATTCTTCCTCCTTAGTAAACTGCCTGGAGCAGACACTTCCTAAGTACTGAGCAACTGCCCTGAAGCAGAGCAAATGCATATCCCTGGGTGACTGAGCAGCTCTGTCTCAGGAGCTCATGCCACACAAGCAGGAGTGCTGTGGAAGTGATCTGTGTGGGAGCACATTTTATGAAGCATCAGCAGGGTATGGGTAAGGGAAAACGCAACCACCACTTACTGTGTGCAGAATGACAGCTGGAAATTACTAGGGCTCCATGGGGCATATATGTGTTCCTCTTCATCTCTACTGCCTCCCGCCTCCCAGAACGCTGCGCCTTCTATACCTGCAGCTTTCTTCCTTAGGAACAATCCATGGCTTGTTCCCTCCCTCCTTCAGGCCCTGAGCTAGGGGTATAGTTCAGAGGAAAACCACTTGCCCATCTGGGTTCAATTCCCCAGTACATTAAAAAACAAAAAACAAAAAACAACCCCAAACAAACAAACAAACAAACAAAAGAATGAAAAAAGTAACACACACCCTCCTGGCCATAATAATCTCCACAGGCACTTATCACCCTCATAGATTCTGGCTGTTAATTACTTGAGCACATGCCTAAAAGCTCAGCAACCAGAATACTGAGGCAGGAGCAGCCTCCAGGCCACACCAACCTGGGCCATATGATGAGGCCTTGCTTTAAAAAAATAAAAAAGCAAATCCCTTAAGTATAGCCTACTACTGTCTAGTGGTAAAAGGTTTGTATTTGCCAGAAATGTAGGATAACTGGAGGATGGAGCTAGGATAGACTGTGTCTTTAAAAATTTAAACATGACTCTGGGCAGTGGTGGCACATGCCTTACTGAAGACAGAGGCAGGTGGATCTCTGTAAGTTTAAGACCAGCCTGGTCTACAAAGTGAGTTCCAGGACATCCAGAGCTGTTACACAGAGAAACACAGTCTCAAAAAACAAAAAAGAAAAAAAAAATTTAAACATGAGGCTAGGTGGTGGTGGCACACCTGTTTAATCCCTGCACTTGGAGGCAGAGGCAGGCAAGTGTGAGTTTGAAACCAGCCTGGTCTATAGAGTAAGTTCCAGGATAGCCAGGACCACACAGAGAAACCCTGTCAGGAAAAAAAACCGAAAACAGAAATAAAATAAAATAATAGTAATAATGTATACATGAGGTGTTCCTAAGAATGAAGCAACCCTCCCCACCCCATCACAATTCACTCAGCTCAGTGCACAGGACCTAAAGCATCCTTCCTGCATCCTCTGGTACTTCCCTTGGTTATCTCCCCTAGAACCAGATGGGTTCTCCATGGTCTACTGAGATTTCATACACAACTGTAACACAATGAAACTGGCGACATCTTCTGAAAACAATGCTAGTATTTCTGTCACACTTTCCCTTAGCTAGTGTAAGGGCATATCAGTGACATGAGAAACTGATGATGGAGACAGTAGGTACTTGCCTGTTGCACAGCTTTTTGGGCAGATTGACATCGAGTATGTGCGAGACAATGCTGACCAGCTGAGTGGCGTAACACAGTGCGGCGCTGATAGTATAGGCAGGGTTGTTATGCTCCATGTCTGAGAAGGCACAAAAGTCATACAAAGTACCTCTGCATCAGTACAAATATCAAGGAACTGAGATTTTTCACTTGCAGTTTTATAGTTACATTACTGATGCTAGCTTTCACTCTTACTTCATAGTGCATGGTCAGACACAAACAGTCCTAAATTTGCCAAGCATAAATGGAATTAAGGTCTAGATTGAATGGGCCTGGCAATGTATCATCTAACAATTAGTGACCAAATTATCCCGTTGTGGTAACTCCTATCTGCTAATGCCAACAATGTGAGGAAGGAGAATCAGTCTGAAGCCATTCTGAGCTACATGAGACCCTTTCTTAAAAACCAAGGGGGTGGAGGATAAGGACTCGGGAGAGGTGGCTCAGCAGTTAAGAGTGCTCGCTGCTTTTCCAGAAGACCTGAGTTCAGTTTCCAGCACCAGTGTTGAGTGGCTAACAATTGTATGTAACTCCACCTCCAGGGTGACCCAAAACCCTCTTCTGGCCTCTACACTCATGTACATATATTCACACAGACATACAGGTACACTTAGTTAAAAATAAATCTTTAAAACAGACAAGGGCTAGGCTTTAGCCTATGATCGGGCATTTGCTTGCCTAACATGCAAAGTCCCTGGGCTTGATCTCCAGTAATGTCCAACTCAAATGTCACCTCCTCAGAAAGGTCTTTCCTTTTGTTGTTGTTAATTGTTTTTCAAGACAGGGTTTGTCTGTATAGCTCTGGCTGTCTTGGAGCTCAGTTTTGTAGAGTAGGCTGGCCTCGAAACCAAAGATCCACCTCCCTCTGCCACCTGAGTCATGAGATTAAAGGTGTGCTTGTCCCTTCCATTGTACCTTTGCCCTACCCCAAAATCTACTGGCTGTTCTCTTAGCACCCACTCTGGTTATGGTCCCTTCACCATTTCTTTACAGCCTGGGATGGTTAGTTTTAATAAGCAACTTAATACACATAGAGTCTCTGGTAATGTCCAACTCAAAATATATGCTCAATGACTAAATGGGCCACTCTTCTCCACACAAGACAAACTGTAGGGGCATTTCAACTTCCATTTAGTACTTCAATAGTCCAAAGCTATCTATAAAGCCAAAATACAAAAGGCAAGACACACTTCTATAAATAGGAGCTTTCTCCCTTTGCTCTTCCCTCCCTTCCTTCATACCTAAAGAGAGAAGGTCTGGCTATATAGTCCAAGCTGGCCTTGAACTCTAGGACAATCCTCATCACTCAGCCTTCCAAATGTTAGGAAACAAAAAACAAAAACAAAAAACAGCCAGGCATTGGTGGGCCCATCTTTAATCCCAGCACTTGGAAGGCAGAGGCAGGTGGATCTCTGTGAGTTCGGGCCAGACTGGTCCCCAGGGCGAGTGCCAGGATAGGCTCCAAAGCTACACAGAGAAACCCTGTCTCGAAAAACCAACCAACCAAACAAACAAACAAAAAACCCCCCACACTGCATGATTTCACTCCTGAGTTGTCTAGGATAGACCATCTATTGCTAGAATGCACACTGGCTACCTAGAGCTGGGGAAGAGGGCAGGGAATGTATGGCACCTGCAGGGCGTGTGGCTTTCATCTGGGATGAGGAGAATGCTTTACAACTACACAGTTCATGCCAGCAGCATGCTGTACATGCACCACACCAACTGTGCACTGAGCACTGTTCACAAAATACAAACACATTTCCAAAGAATATTCTGCTTCTCACCAGGCCCTTGGGTTGTTTTCTTCTCTTCTACCCAATTGTAGTAGGCAGAGTAGTCCCCGTTGTTTGGGAGGCTAATCCAAGGGCCTGTAATGCTAATGCTGGTGTCACCATTGTGGTCATCACAGACCCATCTTCCGGAGAGGTAAGTTGTCCTCCGGGCCTCAGCAAGTTTGCTCACCATGCTGGAGGTCATGGCACTGTCACTCTCTGAAGACATGTCTGCAGGATCTCTGCAAACAAACAAGGAAGATTACAGAGGAAACTCCAAAGCCACCCAAGTTTTTAAAATAGCAACAGTGTACATCTAACAAATGTTAAAAAAAAAGGGTCACTCGCTGGCACAAGCATAGAAGGCAAGGCTTTCCTCATGTCTTGTCCAGACATACAAACCTGTACACAGTCATGAGACAAACAAGTGTCACTCATGCAAATGAAGACCACATCACTACATGGTACAGTATCATGGACTACGTGGTCTTGCTGACTGAAAGTCATCATGTGCCACATGACTACATGTGCACATGTTTTCTTGACAAAAAATTTCAACCTTATGGAAAGGTTGAAAGATTTTTCAAGTTTTACCAAAATTGCCAATTCTGGAAAATGTAATGATCAATATAAGAAGTCTAAATTCAGTCCTCATAATGAAAAACAAACAAAACACAACAAGGAAGGAATTAGTCTATCTTTTTGTTTGTTTTTTGAGACAGGGTCTCATGTATCCCAGGCTGGCCTTGAATTTGCTATGTCACAAAGGATGGTCTTAAACTCCTAAAGTTATCGGAATGTGCTGTTACACCCAGCTATTGTGGTATAGAAATCAGGTCATTTACACTACGGTGCTACTCTGTAGTTGTAAGCACCCTGTTAAGATCCTCTTCTGCAGTCCAGGATACAAACACAGAATCATGCCTTGTGCTCAGGTGCCCGCTGATCCATCAGGATGGAATGCAGGCAACAAGGCTTCCTTCTGTTCTACCAGCTTCTTAGTTATCTTTATGTAAATGTTTAGCAATTTAACTTTTCTCCACTGACCCAAAATGCTTACCAACTAGCATTTAGAGTTTGTATCAGGACTTTCTATCAGCACTGAAGGATTGAATCTAGGGCCTCTTGCTTGCTGCCCAAGGGCTCTACCACTGTGCTATGTCCCTGAAACAGGGTCTCCTTAAGTTGCCCAGGCTAGCCTTAATAATGTGCAGTCTACCCATGTAAACCTCCCAAATACCTGGGATCACACAGGTCTATGCCATCAGGCACAGTTGTATCACCTCCTATTAGACACAAATTACTTGGCAAGATCGGGGAAGAAATGAGTTTTCAAACTTGAAGGAAAACTCGGATCTTTAAGTTTTTAGGAAGCCAAATCTGGAAACACACCAATGTCTAGACTGAGGGAGACACAAGAAAGAATGGTTACTAGTCACCACTGTCAGTCCAGGCAGAGCAGGAGAGCCAGGAGAAACAAGGGCCCTCACTCAAGTGGCCTGAGGGTTAGAGAGCACATGAGCTTCTGGTGGTGGTTTCCATACCCGCCAATCGGCATCTATATCTACAGAATACTGAGGTGAAGGCTAGAGTGTACACCCTCAGCTACAGAATACTGAGATGGAGGGGGCTAGAGTGTGCCCCCTCATCTACAGAATACTGAGATGGGGGGTTAGAGTGTTCACTCTGGTCTCTAACCCTCCCCTCCTTTTTGAGTGCTGGATAAAAAACATACTAGGGGCTCCTGCTGGACAAGAGCTGAACTACAGCTCACCCATCTTGTTAAGTTGAGACAGGATCAGTTAAGTTGCCCAGACTAGCATTCAACTTGCAATCCTCCTGACTCACCATAAAAGTGACTAGGCTTACAGACTTCATCCACTAGGCCCTGGGGAACTTTGTCAAAAGCTCTCCAGATGACTGTGATAAATGGTGAGGTGGGGAACCACTGTCATCTGTTTCCTGAGAGACCCTATGCACTAAAATCACGGTGCTGTCTCAGAAGAACAGAATAAAGGCCCATCACCAGGAAAGGCTAAGTCAGCACCTAAGTCTAGGCACTAGATGTGTTCTTATATACAAGTTTACACTCTACAGGTGATTTTCAATCTTCAGTTAACAGACAAGGAAATCGGGTTTATGGGTTCAAGAGTGCTTCTCACACATAACTAGTAAGTAGCCTGGCTGGTACTGTGATGACTTGGCCCAACAGATGGCCTTCCAGCAGGAGTGTGAGTCAGCATGTAACCTAGAAGCCTGGTGACAGAACACAGGCTGCCCCACCCCTTGCCCTGGCTGCCTCCCTGGCTTTACTGTTTGTTGAGGAAGTTAATAATCAAATTTCATTACCAGGAAAACAAGGACCCTAGGATGAGGCCCAATAAATTAAGTGCTGACATACTGGATGGAAAAAAGTTCTTAGAACCTGGTCATGCATGCCAAAGCCTTCTTACTGACCTCACAGAAGTCTTCACTTCGTCCATTGGGAAGATGACAGAGGTGAGCTCTAAGATGTGGGACCTTCGCAGTCTTGCCAGCCGCTCATAGTGACTCCTCAAGTCAACAGTTTTCTTCTCCACCAGGTCCCCAAGCTTGCGGTTATGCCGCTGAATCTTCTCCTTTTTATCCTGGTGCCGCTGTGCTCGGCTGTAAAGCTTTTGGTTCTTTTCCTTGTTTTTGAGGAGGCCTTCAGAATCTAACAATAAATCACATCCCTCCATGAGCCTCTCCCACCACACAGCACTGCTCCCCTTCTCACTCTACACTCAGGGTAAAGCCTCAAGAAAAACAGTCTGAGGCTTGCTAGGGTCACGGTTAAGCTTCATTTGAGTCAAAACACAAACCAAACTCTAAGACAAAACATCTAAGAACCACATTCTCAAGTTCAAAACCAAGCTCAGGGCCTTCCAGGAACACTACCTCTGGACACATGTGAGGCCAAGTTCTCTATATCACCATTAACTATCACGTGTGTGATGCCTCAGCAATCACCTTACAGTGATTCCATTAGATAGTCTACAATCTATTTATGCCTTCCCACCCTCACTGTTGTTTCTAATTAACTCTCATTTAAATGTTGCCCATCTCCAGGGTGGCTCAACTCCAACCTATCTGCCTCCTCTCTTTCTCACTCAAAGGTTGGGGGGGGGTGGATGGTGATGGTGTGTGTGTGTTCCTCTTGCCTCAGCCTGCTGAATGGTAAGATTACAGGTATGCGTCACCATGGCCCTTGCACAATCTTTATAAACTACAGCCAATGCCTGACAGTTCTCAAACACAAGTCACATTTTTAACCTCCAAACTGGCACAGCCACAGTTCCCTTTTACCCTATGTTCACTGCCTCCATCCTTCAGATCCTCTTAATGGTAACGACTGGATGGATGAATACTGAAGTAGTTACCATCCTGCAAACACGCATCTCCCCACACTGTCCTTCAAAACACTATCTATCTGGGACTGTGCCTTATTTGCTCTTTCTCTCCCGTTCTCTACTATTTTTTATTATTAGTTTTCCATTATTTCCATTATTTTTCTCATTAGCAAGGCTCTGCCCATAAATGCTCCCTAGACCTGTTTCTCACAGTCTGGATTCTGACTTCTAAAGCATCTGACAGCTCCTAGTTCTTCACACTAGGGTCCACCAATGCCTGTAACACGCACTCCTCGACACCTGCGGACACAAGCCAATCCTCTCTCAGGATTCAAATTTGTGGTTTAGCTCAGGCATGAACTTCCTTAGTTTTCCATCTCCTCTCAGAAACCTTTTTCAGCTGGGCGATGGTGGTGCATGCCTTTAATCCTAGCACTTAGGAAGCAGAGGCAGACGGATCTCTGTGAATTTGAGGCCAGTCTGATCTATAGAGCGAAGAACACCTCTTTCCATGGTAAAAGATTCTGGGACTTAGTCCCACACAAGCTTACTTTTACTTTTCATTCCCTCATGCCCGTGATTTCTACTGTTCCTTGAAGTACTCACAAGAACCTGTCTAGCCATGGTCCTGAGCCAGACACTTTTTGTGGACAGTTTAAACTCAGTACCTTCTCCCAGCACAAGTGACAGGATGTTCAGGCACCCCATCTGCAGCTGGTGCTGATGTAACTCAGGGCTCCCTCATCTCCCCCTGGTGTCTCCCCTCAAACATCAAAGCACTCAATACTATTTCTAATCAACTCTACAGCCAGATCAAGCCCACCTTCAAGTGCACATAACCAGCTCTCCTGGCCATGTGGTTCAATGTATCTGGATCATACTGCACTATGAACCCTTAAATCAAAGGCTTTGCAGAACTAATCTACCAGTCTCTACAGTTTCCAGTCTGTGCCCTTTAATGGACACATGGAGTATTTCAACAACACAGCATAAAGAGAAAGACTACTGGGTAACAATCTCTTCATCTGTGAGCTTGGGTTCACAAATCACTTCTAGAATTTGTGAACTCCTTTAAAACAGCTTGCAAGACTGCACAGGCTCTAGAAGGCAGGCACTAAGACTGTAGCCTCTGTCTATCAAGCAACAATTTTCAACTCAGGCGGCCATCAGAGGTACCCACAGCAACCCAAAGTGATGTCTGTGGATTGGAGCTGACAACAGTATGGAAACCTACTGTAAGTGTATACAAACTTTTCTCAACAGAGCAATAAGTAAGCCTAGGGTGGACCCTAGACTTCTCTGCTCCTGGATTAACAAATGGTCATGAGGTCACACTCAAAATATGCTACAATCCACTGCTTTATGACATGCTTTTAGTTTAGAAACCTATTAGAATGAGATGATTAAAATTCTATGCATGCACATGATGCATGCACTATGCAACATCAGAAGGTTGGGACACCCACCAAGCATCACGAGAGGTTGTTGGGGGAAATGGCAAGTCAATGTTAAGTAACTACTTCTGGTGCTGCTGAACCAAACATCTGAAGGATGCAAGCAAAAGTCAGGGTCCCTTCTCCCTGAAGACCCACATCTATAAATCATGCTGCCTTGCTGCTCTAGCTTTCCAGCCCATCCAACATCATACAAGTACTTCATGAGAATAAGGACCTTCCAAGGGAGCTCTGATACCATCACATACCACTATAAAGTAATCTAAATGAGAAGGGATTCATAGACATGATGGGGACTAGTTATAGTGGTTTGAATGTGAATGGCTCCACAGGCTCATTATGCTTAAATATTTGGTCTCCAATTGGTTGAAAAGTTTAGGAAGGATTAGGAGGTGTGGCTCAGGGGGTTGGGTTTGAGGTTTAAAAAGCTTCCTGCCATTCCCACCAAACTCTCTGCTTCCTGCTTATGGTTTGAAAAGTGAGCTCAGCTGTTCCTGCAACCACACCAATTAAATGTCTTTCATAAGCTGCCTTGATACGGTGTTTTATCAAGCAACAAAAAAGTAAGACACTAATCTTGAGGATATAAAATTTAACAGCCACCTATGATAACATCAAAAGCATTTATCTATAATGTGAAAGCAGTAGAAACTTTATATACATGAATTCACCAAGGGGCAAATGCCATGGTTTCATGTTTCTGCATGAGTACTGAATGTTAAAGTGAGACCCAAGGCAGACTCTGCCCATCCTGTCCACTACTGCAGAACAGCAAATGTGCCCCAGTATCTAGTTTTTACGGTGTTGGTTGGTGATCAAGCCAAGAGCTGAAGACATGCATAGAACTAAGTGAACTACATTCTCAACCCTTCCTTTAGACTGAGACAGTTATAGAAGACCTCTGCAAAAATCCCCTAGGCAAACGTCACACTGAGAAAAGCAAGCAAGCAAAGGCTCTGCTTCCCTGAGAGACTCTGAAATATGAGGTTGTGCATGGACACTCAGGATGAGGAGAGAGGAGGAAAAGGAATTTCAGGCCAACCTGGGCTACAGAGCAACACCCTTTCTCAATTAAGAAAGAAATCCGAAGAATGAAATGCTCTAAAACCCAACCTTTTTTTTTTTTTTCCCCTTTTTAAGAAAGGGTCTCACTATGCCCTAGAACTTGATGTATAAACCAGGCTGGCCTCAGACTCAAGAGACCCATCTGCCTGCCAGAGTGCTGGGGTTAAAGGTGGATGTCACCATACTCAGCCTTAAAATCCAGAACATTTTGAGTGCTAACAAGATGCTACAATTTTAATTCTACACTTGACTTGTTAATATGCAGGCATACTAAAAATACTCTATGAAATTACCTCCAGGGTACATGTATAAGGTATATATAAAACACAAACGAATTTCACGTTTAGAGGGCCCCAATACCACAATATATCATTTTACATCATTTTACATACACACACTTCCAAAATTCAAAGAAATCTGAAATCCAAAATATTTGTAGTTTAAAAGTATTTCAAACTAGGGATTTGATGTTTTGAACCCATAGTAAACTCTTCAAAGTCACTGATAGCCTGTGATGGTCAATACTGCCAACTTGACAGGACCAAGTATCACAGGACACAAACCTCTGGGCATGTTTGTTAGGAATTTCTAGGCTTAGTTAACTAAGTTGGGGAGACCCACCTTGAGTGTGGGCAGCACACTTTCTCGGGTTGGTTCCCAAAATGAACAAAGAGCATTGAGGTATATGCACTTATCTCTCCTCCTCCAGACTGGAAGCCTTGTGCCCTGCCCTGCTGCCTCAGGCTCCTTCTGCCATGACTTCCCTCCAGGATGGACTGTAACCTTCAACTGTGAGCTAAATAAACCCCTCCTTCTTTAAAGGGTTTATTTTGTGAGAACAATAAGAAAATTAACCAATTCCTGTCTGACCCTGCCTCTCTCACCATCCCTTTAGCTCATTAACTCCATGAAACTCACTCAGGCCTCTCACTGGGGCTGCAGGGAGGGGAAATTACTTACTTTTCTTCATTTCTTCATTTCCTTTACATATTGTTTGTTTCAGCTGCTCAATCCTCATCTTGCACGACATTATTTTCCATCTCTTAAAACACAAATGTCACAAATGTCAGTCTCATGAGATTATCTACCAGGAATTACTGCTTATTTTCAGGTCTACCTTAGGAGACAGTGAAGAAAAATCTATATCATAACTGCATTTGTTATAAACAAGGAAGAAATTCATTCAATTCTTTCCCATGGGTTAGAGCACAGAGGGAAATTTTCTGAACTTTCCCTACCAAGTACATAGCTATCTACCAGCCTGGCTAAGCTGGTGTGGTAGTATGGAACTAGAATCCTAAAGTTGGGAGGTGGGGACACAAGGTTCAGGATTTAAAGGCCACCCATCAAAATACAATTATAATCCATGAAATAAAGGTTCATTTCCCTATACTATCCACACGTCATGGCTAGTGTCTATAGCAGACAGCAGGTTCAGAGTATTTGTGTCATCACAAAAAGACTGGCTGGAGTTCCACTCTCCGTGCTGGCTACTGAGGTATAATGCAAATAAAATGCACGGAGATTACTTAGATAATTACATGAACTGTGAAGCTGTTTCTTTACATTAGGGGGAATGGTGCAGCTAGGTATGGCTTTCCCTAGTAAAGAAAGCATCAAAGTTTATAGGACTCGTATGATGGTTTGAATGAGAATGGCTCCCATAGACTCATACTGTTTGAACACTTGGTCCCCAATTGGTGGAACTGATGTGGCCTTGTTGGGGGAGGTGTGTCACTGAAGGCAGGCTTGGAGGTTTCAAATGCTTACCAGAACCAACACCTTGCCACCTCCCAACCCTTCCTCATGGTTGTGGATCAAGATATGAACTCTCAGCTGTTCCTTCTATGCCCATAATGGACTCTTTTTTTTTTTAAGATTTTATTTACTTATTATGTATACAACATTCTGCTTCCATGTATATCTGCACACCAGTACAGGGCACCAGGTCTTATAACGGATGTTTGTGAGCCACCATGTGGTTGCTGGGCACTGAACTCAGGACCTCTGGAAGAGCAGTCGGTGCTCTTAACCTCTGAGCCATCTCTCCAGCCCCCCATAATGGACTCTTAATGCTCTGAAACACTAAGCCAAACTAAATGCTTTCTTTTGTGTTGCTTTGGTCACGGTGTTTTGTCACGGCAATCACAATTATTTTCTATTGTCTTCCTATGTTTGAATAATTAAAAGTCTAAAATATTTATAGCGTTAACATTTATGTAAGTAGTCCAATGACACAAGGTAACAGTGACAGGGGTTTGTTTTGTTTTCATTTGTCTTTAAATACTGCTGGGGGGAGTGTGGGGAGCAAACAGACAATTGACCATGAAAGTTAGAGAACAACTCTATGGTGTAGATTCTCTCCTTCCACTTTTATGTGGATTCCGATATGAACTCATGAGGGTCATGAGGCTTATGCAGCAAGTCCTTTACCTGCTGAGCCATCTTGCCCACTCCATTGGTCTTAACAAGTTCCCCCACAATTATGAAGCAGCTGGCCTGATAGAATGATGGAACGGCCACAGCATGGAAGGCTGGGGCAGAGTTCTCCAGAAGGCAGTATATGCTTTGAACCAGCATTCAACATACGGTACAGTTTCTTCCATAGCTAGGATCCACAGTTCCATGAATCAAGGGGTGGAAAAGGGAATAATTCCACTCTCACTCCTAGGAACCAAATGTTTGCTTCCTGTTCCCATGAACTTAAGTTCTGCTGGCTTAGAAGTTTTGGTTCCAGAATGGGGAGTGCTCCTGCCCGGAGAAACAACAAACATTCCATTGAACTGAAAGCTCAGAATCCCCTGGCCACTTGGGCTTCTGATGCCCCTAAGCCATTAGGCTAAGAAAGGAATAGCAGTATTAGGAGGAATGATTGATCCAGATCACCAAGGGAAATTGTATTCCCTCTTGGCAATGGAGGTGCAGGAGATCCTTTATATTGTTGTTGCTACCATGTCCCATGATTAAAGTCAATGGGAAACTACAACAATTCAATCCAGGTAAGGTAACAAAGATAACAAACCCTCAGGAATAAAGGGGTGGGTAACTCTCCAGGAAAAGAACCAAGATCTGCTAAGATGCTTGCTGGTGTTGGATGAAGAACAGAATGGGCAGTAGAGGAAGGTAGTCATAAATACCAGTTAAGGTTACTTGACTAGTTGCAATAATGTCGGTTATAACTGACATGAGTGTTTCTGTTGTGTTTTGTGGTTTCTTTATCATAACATCAACTGAGATATCTTTAATGTAACATCAACTGAGATATATCAATCCTATCATATTTAAGTTATCAGATACTACAAGAATGTCCCTTGAGTGACACTGCCACTTATTCTAAAATATATAACATGTTTGCAGTTGTTATGTGGGATATATCACGTTAGGTATAATTATGACCTGGCTATTGTTTTCATTTGGATATTAAGTATGACAAAGGCAAATATGATTGTGTGTAAAGATGACGAGGGGTAGTGGACTCCTGATGGCTATTCTTGGTTATCAACTTAACTCCATCTGGAATTAAGTAAAAACCCAAACTGCTGGGTATACATGTGAGGCATATTTAGTTAATTGGCTCATCTGAGGTTGGAAGATCCATCCTAATCTGGGCTACACCTCATGGCAGCCTATATGAAGGATATGGAAAAATGCTTTTGCTTTTTGTCTGCTTGCCCTCACTCTCACTGGCAAGTTCAGTTCATCCATCCTGGGGCTGAGGCATTCTTTCACTGGCCTTAGAGCCTACTTCTTTGGGATTCCAACATATACTGAAGACAGCTGACACATCCAGCCTCATGGACTGAGAAACTACTAGATTCCTAGACTTTCCATGGGGACACAGCTATTGTTGGACTAGCTGTACCACAGCCTATCAGCCACTCTAATAAATCACCCTTCTAGATAGGTAGATAGATAGATTGATAGACAGACAGACAGACAGACAGATTTGTACTATCATTTCTGTTCCTTTAGAGAATCTCAATATACCTGCCCTGCCCCTATTTTTATCTTGAGAGTACCATGCTATCGTATAGTCCAGCCTGGACTTGAACTCATGATCCTCCAGCTTTAGCCTCTCTGATATAAACCAACAGGCTGAGGAGTCTATAGAAAAGTGTGTATGTTATAAGGATTTTAAAAGATTTTTCATTGGACATCTTAATTATAGTATTCACAGCATGAGTCACCTCTGTCGTTTTTATTTTATTTTTTTGAGAGAGAGGGTTTCTCTGCCCAGCTCATAAATATACATTTAAATGTCATAAAAATTACATATAATACCACCTTTAAAAAAATAAAACACTGCCAGGCAGTGGTGGCACACACCTTTAATCCTAGCACCTCAGGAGGCAGAGGCAGGTGAATCTCTGTGAGGCCAGCCTGGTCTACAGAGAGGGTTCCAGGACAGCCTCCAAAACTACAGAGAAACCCAATCTTGTAAAACAAAACAAATAAAAAAACTAGACACTGCAGGAAAAAGGAAATGTGACTGTTATACGGACTCCAGCCTCCTGGTCAAGGTCAAACTCTTCCGTTGTATGGCTGTGCCAGTCCACCATAGACCATTTTTAGAGTATATTTAAATATATTTAGAGTATATTTAAAATATACATACAAAGGGAATGATATTCCCTTGCCTTTGTTTCATTAAAAATTTTATCTCAGACATACTTCCTTCTGGACACATGTATACTAACCACATTTTTTATATCATTAAAAATCTAACTGCCAGGCTGGAGAGATGGCTCAGAGGTTAAGAGCACTGACTGCTCTTCCAGAGTTCCTGAGTTCAATTCCCAGCAACCACATGGTGGCTCACAACCATCCATTATGAGATCTGGTGTCCTCTTCTGGTGTGCAGATATACATGGAAGCAGAATGTTGTATACATATTAAATAAATAAAATCTTTAAAAAAAAAATCTTGTGACAATGTTGCTCTAAATAAACATTGTTAAAAAAAAATCTAACTGCCACACTAATTTGGACACAGTTATGGGATTCGCTGTGATATCTCAATACATGAATACCAAAGTGGCTCCACGGGCATGGTTGCTTCTCAGCTCCTGAAGCTGGAGCATTCATTTAACTTTACAGTGGTGCTACAATCAATAGTTTGCTATCCAAAAGTCTCTGCGTCTGTGTTCATTTCTTAGGAGAAATTTGCTGAGCACACAAGTGTTCTGTGAGCATCACGGACTCCCCCCAGGTCAAGTGTGTCTCTGAGATGCTGCCAACCAGAATAGAGTGTCAGAGCCCCATCAAAGGCCCTAATTTACATGTTTGTGTTCCTTTTCCCAGTTTAGCAGCTAATTTTGTTCAATGTACAAGATTTTTAAATTAGTTTACTGTGCCAAATGCTTTCTTCTGTGGTTTCTAAAGGACCTACCAACACCAAATTACATAAGTCCACTATGATATTCTGTTTTTGTTTTGTTTTGTTTTGAGCTGGCATCTCATGTAGCCCCAGCTGGCTTCACGTCCCAATCCTCCTATCTTCAGCTCTCAAGGATGGGATTCCAGGCACACATCACCATGCCCAGCTCCTCCTGACTCTTAAGTATTTTACATCTCATCATTCATTAATTTACCTGCACATGTGTTCATTGTGAGTAATTTTTGCAAAATGGATGATCTACTTGGTTCTGTATTACTATTCCAAGAGCAGACTTGTATAATTACCTTTTATGATGGCTGTATAATTTAATTGCCTATCCCCTTTGGTATATCTCCATGTAATAGGATAGAAGGCCACACTACAAATATAAGACCATCAAATGTGGTAAAAAACTAAGTTAAAGAATTATTTCTTGCCGGGCATTGGTGGCGCACACCTTTAATCCCAGCACTTGGGAGGCAGAGGCAGGCGGGTCTCTGTGAGTTCAAGGCCAGCCTGGTCTACAGAGTGAGTGCCAGGATAGGCTCCAAAGCTACACAGACAAACCTCGTCTCAAAAAAAAAAAAAAAAAATTATTTTTTTAAGCTCTACCACCTTAAAACCGTATAGCCCCATGTATGAAGAATATTAGCTTATATACTTACCAACTGATCTGTTAGCCGTTTTCCTTCCATAGCTTTTAGTACTCTGTATAGGAAAGAGACAGATTGAAGCTCTTAATAAAAATCTTATAAAGCTCAAAAGATATATGTCAATGTTTAAAAACTTATTATGGGTGTTTTGCCTACACATGTATGCCTGGTACCTAGGGAAGCCAGAAGGGGACGTCAGTTCAATCTCCTAAAACTGGAGTTACAGACGGTTGTGAGCTGCCATGCGGGTGCTAGGAATGAAACCTGAGGCCTCCTGAATTAAAGAGCAGCCAGTGCTCTTAAAGGCTCAGCCATCTCCAGCCCCACGATTTCCCTTTTGTTTTCAATACTGGCTGTTGCTATGTGCCCAGGTTAGTCTTGAATGCAGCCTTCTAGTTATAGGTGCATACTGCCTGGCTAATGGTCAACTTTTTAAGGTAGGTGCTTGGAAAAAAACAGGAAATATCAAAGTGGTTTTTAACATATTATTTTCCGAATGCTTTATTCCTTAAAACTTTTCATTTCTTCCTTTTGTACCTATAGCATTACCAAGAGCCTTGGTCCTAAGAATGAAGTACTCTGGGAAAAAAAGATTCTGTGATGGAATAAGCTACAGAAACTGCTAGGTCAAATATACTCAGGCAGATTTTTATGAAGCATACTTTTCTTAGAGGATTTTCTTCTGCTTATGAATGTATTTAAGAGGAACCCATTGGCATTCAATCTAAGGATTCCTAGGGACAGGACTGCCCCTTTGGTCTGAGGATTCAGTAGAGTTAATCAAAATGGCAGGTGAAGAAATGAATGAAGACTATGATAAAGACTCATGAATCTTTATCAGCCCTAGAGAGCTCCCTGGGTGCTGTGGATGACATGATGAAGACCATAACACCTGTTTCTAGAAATCAGTTGTTGCAGAAGTTGTACCCACTGGAGCAAGCAAAGATGGATTTAGTTTCTGCAAACACATTCAATTCAATGTTGGGTTTATTTGGCAACCCAAAGAGTTAATTCTATACAGCATCCAGTGAAGCAAGAATTGGAAAAAATCAAGAGTCTACATGAACAGAGTCAAAGAAATAAGAGACAAGAAAAAGGCTGCAAAGCTGGACAGAGGTGCTGCCTCCATATTTGTCAAAAATGCACTCTGGGAACCAAAACAGAAAACACACCAAATATTACCAAAGGAGAAAGTAAGCATTAACCTTTTGGTTCTGATGTACATGTTTTCAAAAAGTACACTATTTCTATCAGTTTGCAAAACAATTAAGTGCAATGCAAGGTTTAAATGGATTCCTTTTTGAATTCATATATAAATTTACACTTTAAAGTTGTGATACTGAATCTTTTTTGTTGTTGTTGAAAAAGACTGCCTTTATTGATTTCCATATAAAGCATCATGATTTTTGGTTTTTTGTTTACAGAGATCCACCTGCCTCTGCCTCTGCCTCCCGAGTGCTGGGATTAAAGGCATTTGCCACCAACGCCCAGCTGCATCATATTTTTAATATTGCAAGGTATTCTATAGGCAATTGTGAAATCCAAATGTTCTTTTGTAGGATTTTAAATGGAGAATGATATTATGAAGTGTGCTGTCTGTAAACTAGAGTTATAAGGACATCTGTTTTCACTAATGACAATAAATGCAATGACTTTGTTTTCTGTTTAGTTAGTTCAACATGTTTTTTTGATTGCTTTCCTGATATTCAAAGTGCAAAATTGAAAACTTAAGGCTGTACTTTAATTCTTCATGTTCCATTTAAAATAACATATTCTCATTACCAAAAAGAAAGAGGGGAGGGTAGAGGGAGCCCATTGTGGAAATCACTGGCACAGATATCATTTGTCTTCACCAGTAAAAATATTTCCATAATGGTCTGGTTTGGGAAGGGTCAGCAGAGGACCTCAAGTGATGGGCAAGACATGCAGGGAGAAGAGAAGCACTTAAAATGGCTGAGCCATCTATCTCTCCAGCCCTTATTTTTTTTCTTTTGTTTTTAATACTGTCTCCTACTGTGCACTCAGCTTTCTGGATATAGGCATATACTGCCAACCCTGGCTAAGATCAGCGTTTAGTAAAAGTCAAATGTCAGCAGGCACCACAGGATAGCTACCAGGTCAGTTTGCACAGAAGGTTCTACAGAAGAATCTTCAAGCCTAAGGGGTAAGGGAGTCACAGGGTGCTGGTTAACAACTCAGAGTCTTGGGCCTCACTTGGACTTACTTCATCAGAATATCTGAGGCTAGGAGTTCAAGAATCTGCATCCTAAAACATATCTCAGCTACTGAATTTTGATACCTCGAACTTTACTGCCCTAAACTGATTACCATAAGAAGAAGATAAAGGGAAGCTGTGAGGTCCTATGGGAACCACCTCTGTGAACACTAACTTGGGCCTCATATAGCCTACTGCTGTAGGCCCACCTGCTACCATCAGTGAGTAGAGCCAAGGTTGATTCCCCTGTCCAAACACTGAGTCATTACTGTGGGAAGGACTCCAGTCTTAGGCCAAGGTTTTCTAGAAACTTGATATTCTCTCCTGCTTCCCTTCTCTCAGATACTCTCCCTCCTTTCCTCACACTTTAAGTCTGATGCTCCACCCACTGAGCTATCAGGGTGTGCTTCCCAACACCTTAAAAGATAGTCTGCTAAATGAGCTGGCAATTCACATATCAGCACACCACAGCAACAGATTAAGCTGTGGCTACAAACAACCTTTATCAATTAAAGAATAAAAACTTACTCTTTCTGAAATTCTTCTTGCTTGCTCTTAAGCTGGCTTAGCCTTTCCTTCTTGTCAATAAACCTGTAAGAAAAAAAAAATCTTGGTTTATTTACATGTCCTCCTCCCCCAAGTTTAATGAGACTCCTAACAATTCCTGAGGTGATCAATTCTACAAACTCCTGTGGAAACACCTATATCCTGAAAGTAAAAAGTGTTCTAGACAGGGCACACACATCTGGGTTTGTTTGTTTTTATTTGTTCGTTTGAGACATGGTTTCTCAGTGTAACAGTCATGGCTGTCCTCGAACTCATAGAGATCCACCTGCCTCTGCTCCCAAGTGCTGGTACTAAAGACATGGAATTATCAACTTTAAAGCCCTTTCCTGGCTTTATAAAGTATATTTGTAGACTCTATCTTGTACCTTGACGCTGTTTTCCAAAACACATATATCAGAATACTAACATGCATTTTTGTTGTTTTTGAGACAGGGTCTCACTGTATACCCCTGGCTGGTCTCAAACTCCCTATGAAGACCAGGCTAGGCTTGAACTCTCAAAAACCTGTCTGCTTCTGCCTCCCAAATGAGATTAAAGGAATGCATGACCATGCAGAGCACCACTGCTATGAATTTGAATACAAGAAAGTTAAGACTTCCATTAAGAAAAGAATCTTAAGTTGCCAAACTTAATTTAACCCTGCTTTCCTCTACAAACCTAGTCCTTATAACTTTTGAAGTAGAAGTCTTTTATTAATTTCATTGTTAGTTACCAGAAGCTTACAAGTTAGTAAAGGAAGGTGTACCACACTACTAACTTTTTCCTAGGTTTGTTAGTCTTCTACTGCTATCATTTTCATTTTCATTTTCTTCCGGCTACTTCGTATTTGATTTGTTTTTATTTTTTTGTTTAAAGTAGTAATTTAGGATAATTTACCCCTCTCTTAATTTAAAATTTATTTGACACATTAAAAAATAAAAATGGGGCTGGCTCAGTGGTTAAGAGCACTTGTTCTTGCAGGACTCAGGTTCGATACCTGGCACCCACAACCATATGTAAATCCAGTTCCAGGTGATCCAATGCCCTCTTCTATCCTACACACATACTAGGCACATACATCACAAACAAAAATACATGCAGGCAAAATACATACATTCATATACATAAAACAAATCTAAAAACAATTTCTTATTTTAAAACTTACCAGGTGAAGTTTTTATACATTAAATAGACTGTAATATTTTTCATCTGGTTAAGCATATCGATCTCTTCAAACATTTATCTTGTCTTTATGGAACAGATAATCAAACTCAAGATTTAAATCTATCTTACACAATTATGTACAGTCATCCTACTATACACCAAGGCTTACAATTCTTACCTAACTATAACTGATCAAGCTTTTGGCACACTCCCTCCTATCTAGTCTCTGTAACTACATAGCATCAGAAGCTCAACTGATACAAACTCTTAGATCACACATGCAAGTAAGACTGTAGGGCACTTATTTCTTATACTTGGCTTCTTTCGTTAACACTACAATCTCCAATTCTAATCATGTTGTTGAGAATACTCCCTTTTTCCCTTTTTAAATACAATACTCCCTTTTTTAATAGAATTTGAAATTATATGTCCCCTCTCGGCATTGTTTCAGTTGTCACCTACAATTTCTGATAAGGTGTATTTTAGTTTTAAAACTTCTTTGCCCCATAATTATTTAGAAGTGTCATCCTGGTTTCCATATTTGTGGTCTTTTTTTAGGTAGCTTTTTGTTTTGTTTTGTTTTGTTTTGTTTTGTGGAGACAGGGTTTCTCTGTGTAGCTTTGGAGCCTATCCTGGCACTTGCTCTGGAGACCAGGCTGGCCTCAAACTCACAGCGATTCGCCTGCCTCTGCCTCCCAAGTGCTGGAATTAAAGGTGTTCACCACCAACACCCGGCTTTAGGTAGCTTCTTAATATTCCATTCTTTGTTTGTTTGGTCAGTTTTTGGGACAGGATCTCACACATAGCCCTGATTGGCCTGGAACTCACAACAAAGATCCACCTGGCTCTGTCTCCCAAGTGCTGAGATTAAGTCTTATTACTATTTCCTAGTTTAATATTGTTAGTCATAGACTATACTCCATGAGATTTCAAGGTCTGTATTTGTTCTGTCTGTGCAAGTTCCGTGTACACCGGAAAGAATGTTTCTACAGCCATTGGGTGCAATGGCTACTGTCAACAGGTAGACAATAGTTGATAATCTCTCTCAGATATTTTTTGTTTTGTTTTTTCTGAGACAAGTTTCCTGGCTGTCCTGGAACTTGCTTTGCAGACCAGGCTGGCCTTGAACTCACATAGATCCACCTGCCTCTGCCTCCTGAGTGCTGGGATCAAAGGCGTGCACCACCACCGTCTGCTCTCAGATCTTGATCTGTGTTGTTCAATATGGTGGCCACCCAACAAATACAGCTGCCAGACACCTGTAGTTTGTTATGTAATTAGGATTTGAGGGTGAAAGTGTGGCCAACATCATGCAAACAATTAGGAAATGAGCAAATAGCAGCTAACATGGTGTAGAGTCCAAGAACAGGTTTTTGGTGTCTCCTGAAATCCAAGTATAAACAAAAACATGGAACAGAACCACCATCATGGGGAAAAAATCAGCCCAAATAATTCTATAATGCTCATGTTTAACACACACCAAATACTTACCTCTAAATGGTTGGGATAACATGATCTAATCATAACCTTATGTAGCACTGCAAACATACAACATATACTAAACAAAGAAACAAAGCCAGAAATTTTGTACATAACAAGTTAAATAACTCCTCAGAATAGCCCCACCACCATAGAAATCCTACTGGACAGCACTAGAGTGTCCAGTAAGAACTGTGTCATGGAGCAGTTCAGAAATCAAGCCCATGAGACTCAGCAATTAAGCAGGCATTTACCATGTGGCTGCACCAAGAACACACACACATCCTCCTGAGTTGTGAGAACTTCTGTACACTATTCTACAGCATGTGTGTCCCCATGCTTCCCCTGCCTGCATATGGTAGTGCATGCCTATAATCCTGTACTCAGGAGACTGAGGCAGGAGGATGAGTTCCAATCCAGCTTGGGCTAGAGGGTAAGATTTGGGGAGAGAGAGACTGAGACCAAAGTGGTATTTGCTTTGACTTCAACAAAGGCAATAGTAACTTATATTCAAACTCACAGAGCCCTCAAACAAGGCAGAAAGCTAGCATGGAGGATAACATCTTGCTTTCATGAGCTATAAAAGTGAGGAAACAAGACCATTCTCTGCATTCTCCACTCCATTGCTCAAAGATATGGATTCATTCCACCATCCTGTGCTTTCTCAATATGGTTTCCAAGAAAGAAGGGAAAAACAACCACCACACTCGATGAAATCTTACTGATTTATCTTTTATCTTAAAGAAGGTGTGGGAAGGTAGACTGGTATTTTATGCAGTGTTTTGCAAGTTGGTTAATGTCATAGATTATCTTGTTATCTCTCCTCATTGCAAAGATACCAAGATCTATCTGATTCTTCCCTGCTGGCTAGCACAAAGCTTCTTACACAAGCCCTTACTGACCAGCACACTGCTGTGCCCAAAGGCTCACTACTTCCAGTAACAGGACAGATGCATCCCACAGTGCGGTCTTTACACACTTTTTTTTTTTTAAACTTTCTGAGAAATTCTTACAAATGAGACAAGACACTGGTCAAAGAATATTCATATGCCAAATTTCCTCTAGAACATTTATCCCAAGAGTGGATAATGGGACCCATGACTCCCCCAGTTCTGAACAGGTGATTTTTTGATCCTCTTGAGTGGTTTACCTGCCTGTACTTCACTGTCAATGACTGGGCACCTTTAGAGCCAGTGGCATCTTGTTCTTCTGCTACTCCCTATCAACACCCTTCATCCATTTTCTATCATCTTTTTCCTTTAAAGACTATTACCCCAGAAATTAGGTCTTTCTGTCAGTCATGGTAAAATCATGCTTTTCTTATTCTGTTTTCTTACTGCTTGTGAAAATTCTGTCACACTCTTTTGGTGCTACTGTTTAATGACTCTACCTGTGTTGTTTTCTAAAATGAGTCTGCCAGTCAACTTTGTTTTCACTCCCAAGTTAAAAATTTTTTGAAACAAGGTCTCACCAAATAGCCCTGGCTTGACTTGAACGCACTATGTGGTCCAAGCCCTGAACACACAGAAACCCATGTGTTTGTGTCTCCTGAGTGCTGGGATTAAAGGTGATGACTTCTAAAGCCAAGTGTGGGGGCACAAACCTATATTCTTAGACTCATATTTATTACATCCCTCCTTACTTACACTTTTAGGGGATATTCCTATAAAAGAAATTACTCGCTGGGCGTTGTTGGCGCACGCCTTTAATCCCAGCACTCGGGAGGCAGAGGCAGGATCTCTGTGAGTTCGAGGCCAGCCCAGTCTCCAGAGTGAGTGCCAGGATAGGCTCCAAAGCTACACAGAGAAACCCTGTCTCAAAAAAAAAAAAAAAAAGAAAGAAAGAAAGAAAGAAAAGAAAAGAAAGAATGAATGAATGAACTTACTCCTTTAAGTTGACTCTTGTTTCTTAAATTCTTCCATAATTTTGTGACTTTTTCCCATTAAAAAGTACCTGTGTGTCCTACTGCTGTGAAGAGACACTATGACCAAGGCAACTCATAAAAGAAAACATTTAATTTGGACTTGCTTATAGTTTTAGAGGCTTAGTCCATGAACATGATGTGGAAAGCATGGTGGGGAGCAAGTTGGCACTCAAGCAGGCAGAGAAAGACACTGGACCTGGCATGGGCTTTTAAAACCTTAAAGCCCACCTCTAGTGACACACCTCCTCCAACAAGACCACATCTTCTACTCCTACCCTAACAGCTCATCAACTGGGAACTAAGCATGCAAATACAGGAGTGTATGGGGCCAATCTCATTCAAACCACCACACAATCTTTCAAATCAACTGTCAAGTAGGAGAAGGTGTTCGTTCACATAGAAGTTAGTGTGGCTTGTGGACACATTAGCTCAGAACTCTAGGAACTGAAGTATGAGAATGTCTGAAAAACAACTGTTAGGAGGGAAAGCATTGCAGGCAAAGGAAACTCTGCTGTGTGAAAAGTTACTTTGAACCATGCCAGGGCTTTTTAACCCTCTAAGCAGCTAGCTATGACA